GCTCTTTGTGAGCGCTGGCGGCTGCGGCTACAGCACCCATGGCTCGCTTCAGTGAGTACAGCTCAAAGCAATGGCGGTTTTTGAATTTCGTGCTCTTTGTGAGCGTTGGCGGCTGCGGATTCAGCGCTCGTGGCTTCGCTCTCAGTGACTACAGCTCTTTGAAGCAGACACGTCTGGCTAGCCTTCGACCGAATCCCATCCTCGTCGCCAGTGTTGTAGAGCGATGGTAAGGAAGAGGCAGAAGCCAGAGCGTACAACGAACAAGGCTTTATTGCAGAGAATAAAGGGTTGTCGCGTCCGCTTGCTAACTAGCAGACTAGCTGGCGACAACAGGGCTGGCTCTGCTCGACAGCCGGCTTTTATAGCTGACTGTCAAACGGAGCCAGCCAATGGGAGCGGCTGGTGCTCCCGCTCAAACAGCGGACCTGGTTGGGAACTCCAACCAGTTCCACAGACATAACAAATATTAAAACAATTCCCAAGGTACTAGTTAAATAACTAGTACCATAGGTACTATAAACTAGAATTTAAGGTCCTAGCATAACTATAAAAGCATAGGATGTTTCTTTGTGTGATTGTGTGTGTGTAGGATTTCAAAATCAACTATGAATACAACTATATATGTTTATGTAAGAGGTTTACAATTATATAATGCTAACCAACAGTACACATATGGCTAAAACAGAACATAGAATCACTAAAATGTAAAAACCTACTAGTATTTCAAAATGATTATTAATAATATGGCTACAATACTATGGGGCAGAAATTTAAGTAGGACTTAGAGATAACAAAATATTTAAAGACTGAATAGACATTGCCCTAATCATCCTGAACACTCCGATGCCTAAGAGCAAAGAATTGGGGCAAATAGCTGTAACATTCTGTATAAAATACCCATAAAATAAAATTAGCAAGCAGCTATGTCAATGATATACATAATCAAAAGGAAAATCATAACATACCATTTCTTGCTTACTTTACTCCACATTGGAAGAGATGTGGAAGAGGATTCCTAGTGCAGGGATAAACTTTCTCTCTCTCTCTCTGTGTGTGTGTGTGTAACCATGCTATATTTTAAATTTCAATTTCAGTTTTTGAAAGAGTAAACAGAGTATTGTAAAGGTAGGACTAAAAGTTTTTTTTTCTTTTGACTTTTGATTTTTTGAAGAACAAAAAATTATTAACAAAATGGGCAAAATCATGCTAGAAAATCAATGATTTTGCTCCCAAATTTGGCACTTTGATCTTTAGTTTCCAAAGGGTTTTCAATATTTTTGTGTGTCCTTGAAACTTTCAGATATCAGTTGATGTCTGGAAAATTACAGCCGAATGTGGTAGATTCTTCTGAATGTAAGAGCAGAAATGCAGAGAATGTAAGCAACAAATTTCCACAAACAGTTATTATGCAGGTTAAGGATAAGAGAACAGAGTTGTGCTGCAGAAGATGAAAAGGTTGACATGATTGGAAAAATATTTTGACCTGGGATTCCTGGACTCTTAGAAACAGCAAATGTCATAAACGGTTAAATGTATGCTTTATAGTTGTGTTTATACAGGAGTTCATGACAGCCTGATCCAGACATAGAAATGGACTAGAAGATTTTAAAATGAATCATACTTGAAACTATCAAATAAATTAGTCACTGTATATAAAAAACTTCACATAAAAATATGAATGGTATAGCAAAGATCTCAACTGAGAGAATTACTCATTTCATATATTCTTTTTTCCACCAATGAAATGAAATGAAATAAAATTAAATGGATTCATAAAATATTCTTTCATTGTAATACACATATTCATGTCATCTAACCATAACTCTAACCTGATATATAGAATTTGTTAAATATATAAAACCATTAAATATTTGTTTAGATTTTTTTTTAATATCCCAATGAATATACAGAAAAGCATCCCCAACAGGGGTGGGATTCGACCGGTTCTATCAGTTTCTATAGAACCCCTTGTTAACTTTCTAAGCAGTTCTGAGAACCCATAGTTAGAAGCAATCTCCTTTTGTTTTTTTCTACACTTATTACATTCTTGGCAGACAGCCTAAACTTACTGTCTCTGGAGCTTATGAGGCTTGGCTTTCTTAAAGGGGAAGGGTTATTTTACACTGCTGTTGGGAGAAAATACTTCCCTGGACAATCAGCACTTTGAAGAAATCATTGAATAATGAAGCAAAGCTTGTAATGACAGGGAACCAAGATGATTGACACTCAGCAAAGCTTCTTGGCTAGCTAGAAAGATTAACATTCAAACACGAGTTTACATACCCTTTCTGAGTTTTGGTCTAAAACTGGTTTTTAGTGAAGGTTAATTCTGTGCTTGGTGACATTTAATCCTGTGTTTATTGATGGGATAATTTTCCCTATTCAGCTTCATCAAGCAACAGCTACTGTTATGATTTAATTATTTGTATTGTGTTTGAATTTTTGCCTTATGGTTTCTTTTTCTATCTGGGGAGGGGGTCTTCATCACTGCTTTAGTACTATCTCACTGTCCTTTTGGGGTATACTTCCAAGAGGCAGGATGCAAGCTTGGCACTGATTTTTTTACTGCCTTTCTGGGGAACATCTTTCCTTAAATCTAGGTGATTCCCTTAGGATATCTTGTGAGGTGAGTGAGACCAGCTGGTATCTTTAAGTGGTGTAACTGGATCTAAGGATTGCTTATCCTGGGTGTGCTTTTTCTGGAGAGTTTAAATGACCTCTCTGCTAAAGGGTTTCACTTTATGAGCAAGAATTGGCTGCTTGATAGTTATCACTGCATTTTAACTATTTTCATTCCTCAAGGTGCTCTGGCACCTGCCTGATTTGTAACTCTGGCTTGCAGGTATTTTTAATATAATGATTGGTATTTAGGGCAGCTTTTTGCAAGCAAAGAAACTTTTTGTATTTTTGTACAGGTAATCCTTGACGTACAACAGTTCATTTAGTGACCATTCAAAATTACAATGGCACTGAAAAAAGTGACTTATGACCATTTTTCACACTTATGATCATTGCAGCATCCCGACTGTCATGAGAGGCTAGGTGAGAAGCACCCCTTTACATGAATGATGTCAAGTTGGCCATGCCCACCCAGTCACATGACAACAAAGCCACACCTTACCAACTAAGCCACGCCCACAGAATTGGTTGTTAAAAAAATTGAATCCCACTCCTGATCCCCAGCCATCATAAATGATCCTGTTGCTCCATGGTCATATGACCATATGTTGAAAGGGTCCAGCTTTATAGCTACTGATAGTATTTGGCACTCCTGCAATGATTCTTGATGGTTTTTTGTTGGTTTAAAAAAAAAATCAGACAGTCTGCAATCTACTATAAAAGAAATATGTGTATAATAAGTAAACAAAATCACTAAACAGGCTAATATTTAAAGACACCAGACAGTTAAAATTGCTGTTGGCTTAAAATAAAGTTTTAATTTAATTTTGACTTGAAAGCTTTTTTGTTATATAATCACTCCCATCAATTTGTTAAAATTCTAAGATCTATACACATTTTAGTGAACTGGTAAATGAATATATATAAAAAGATTTCCAAAATTAATTAGATATTAGATATATTTTGTAATATACAAAAGATTTCCAAAATTAATTATATAGAAAATCAGGATTTTTTCTGTTGAAATCACATTCTAGTTTAGGTACATTGTCATAGCAAACCTTTTATTTTCTAGTTTATTTTTATGTATTGTTGGAATAAGTTGCCTTTTTAACTGATAAATATTAGGACTTCAAAACTGATTTGGAAGTGTTTTGGACCTCATGAAAACACAACAATTCTCAGCAATTCATTAAGGCAGCCTCTTTTAGACTAGCATTACTTTAAAAAAAAACCTTTAAAAAACCAATTTATTAGAGTCATAAGGTGATTCTTAAAACAATAACATCTTTACTTATGCCTTGCACAGATGTTTGATAGCACTGGGCTCCTTAATGAATTGGAAAGAGATATTATGCTCTCACTCATGTAAGCTCCAAGTATTTCTTTCAATTCAATTGCAAAATGTTCAAATGTCTATCCATTTGAGGAGATTGATTACATTGTACTGTGTTAACCTTCTTCAGTACCAGCTCTCCAGATGTATGAGGTCCCATGGCTATCATAAATAATCAGTATGGAAAAAAAAAGAATTTCTGCGCCTCACAGGGTCTGAATAGACTGAAAATATTTCTTTATGATAAATTTCCACTAGAGTTGCCACAACCTTGTACACTTTGTTCAGTGTGACATCTCTATGGGATAAATGTGCTGAAGGAGCTGAAAGATTCAGAAAAATAAAGTCTCTGAAAATACCCACTGTAATCTCAGATCACTTCCATGTGCATGGCTGGTCCATTCCAGGATCAGTTCTGCAGCCTAGAAGACACCCTGCTTTTGAAGTTCCCGGAGACTGTTCTGACGCTGAACAACTGAGCTTCCAATTCAGCTATTGCTTCAAATTTAAAATTCTATAAACTTTCTGATTGTAGAAGGAATCTACAGAATTACTTCTCTAAATTGCCTTGGATGGTGAATACCTTTTAACTCACCAAATATTATTTATCTTAGTTGAGATAGGTATTCTGAAAAACTTGAAGGAAATAAAAAAATGGTGGAAGACTACAGTTTGATACAAACAGGAATAATTTAATGTTCAACCATAGCTTCCAATTCAGTAGTAGAATTTAATTTTCTCTAGTTTTAGTTGGACTCTTAACATTTATTAATTGAAATTATACTGGTTAAGTACTTTAACAACATCCAGTAGAATATTCACTCAGTCATAATTCATGACTTACTTAAGATTAGATACTGTTCTCTGCAATAGAAAACTGTTCAGTTTGGCCTTCCCAAACCTGGGGCTCTTTAGAATACTGAACTTTAAGACCTGGTATTTCAGGTTGGTAAATGCAGGTTTAGACTCTGCTGTATTGATACATTGTTCATATAACACTATGGAAGAAATTTTAGGCAATAATTATAATAAAAAGTTGGTGTACCTGGTCAAGTTTCCAGTGAAATTCTGCAGGACGAAAGGTATCAGCTTGGTCAAAATCTTTCCGTAACAAAAATACTAGTCGACAATTATGTACATAAAGTGCATAATGGTGTCGATTCATTTCTAAAAAAAATAGACCAAGATGAGAAATATATCGGTATGTGTAATGATTTATTAAAATCATATTATACAATTAATTAATTAGAAACTAAATTATTACAAATCAATACTTGATTCAGTGATAAAAGAGATCTTGAGGCTAATTCTTATAAGAGTTTGTTATTTTTCAATATCTGCTTGCATTGAACATTTAACTTTGAAAGAAGAATGAAGAAAGTACAGATTTTGAGTTACCTGTTTTATCAGAATTACACAAAATAGTTTCTTTCTCTGCTCTTAACCCTGGACTTGGGCCATGTTTCATCCACATGGTGATGGTAAAGTGATCAGTTAGATTCTTTGGTACTATTCCATCAGGAATTTTGGCACCTTGCTTTCCATCAAATTTAAAAACCATATCATTGCTGTCCATCAGAAGACCAGCTGTCCAGTTATTTGCAGCACTGTGTGTTGGTAGCAGGTCAATGGCACCTGAAGACGCTCCTGTGGATGGCATACAATGAAGAGATTGATGAGAGACTAATGAGAAAGCTGTATGAAATCCAGGATCACCCTTCATTGTTTCATTTTAATGATAACAGACATTTTTTGGATTTAATCTTCTCAGGCTTAATTCTTGTCCATTAAAAGAGTATTAGAGGCAGCAGCAGGACTAAGTAAGTTTGTAGATAGCCACTGCTTCATCAGAATGACAAAAGACTATGCTAGCTAGACCAGTAGCCCTGTTTTAGTTATATTTTAATTTATAAAAAAGAACTTTGATCTATATAATTATGGTATTCATATTGTTAACATGTGGGTTATGGCTATTTGTCAACCTAGTAATCAATAATTTTCTTCAAACCCTTAACAATAGATAATTTCTTAAAGTACAACCAATGTCCCCTTATAAACTGATTATAAAAATTAATAACAGTAAAAATAAAAATAAAATGTCCATCATTATATTAATCTTCTTTTGTTGACTCAGAATTAACTGGACTGGACTAAAAGACCTCCAAAGTCCCTTCCAACTCTGTTATTCTGATACTTTTCTGCTTACTACCTCAATTCTTCTCTAGATACAATATGGAAAATCTATAGCTAGTTACAAGGTTTGTGTGGAATTTGTAAATGTTTTGATCTATAATAGCTGTTAGTTGGATAATGTTGGGATTGAAGTCACATAAACTGATTGGGTTATGTGACCATTGGTGTGGCAGGTCCAATTAAGACATTTGGACTGACTGAGAAATCCAGTTTGGTAATTTCATTTTAGTGATGAAATTACTCCCATCATCCTTGCAGAACCCCAGTAAAAGAACTGTATTAATTAGTTAACAAGCTGGATATATGGTCATATGTATCCTTCTACATAAACAAATAACCTATTTTCTCTGATATATAGATATTGAAAAGGATCAAATTCTACTCATAAAATGCAGCAAATATTTCAGAATTAAGATTTTCTGCTGACTTTGTACTAGCAAATTCTTTTTTTTTTTTCAGAATATTGTTTATTTAAATTATATATCCACTTATTACTGGCTTCAGGCCTGCTAATTGCAGACATGTGATCCTTGTCCCCATGTAATCGAATGTTAACAGAAAAGAAATGTGTCTTTTAGTTTCTACATAAATACCACTACTGTCATTACCAGCTCATAAACACATACAATTACAAATAAATTAATATGTACCACATAATTTCTGCAGAGATTTTTCTGAATATGTCTCACGGTCGCAGCCTTTTCCAATATAATTAGTCTGAAGCTCAACAGTGGCATGGATAGAAGAAACAGGTCCATCACAGGTCTCCAGATGAATAATAGGAAATAAAGGTATGCTCCCTGAACCAGGCTTGTACTCAATATGCCTTTTCCAGTCTAATAATAGAAATATTATTACATACTACAACATGGCCAATAATATAACAAGTTTTATATCTCTATAGACTTTTTTTGTATTTTGTGCATTTTTAGAAACAGAAATGTGAACAGAAGCTTGTGTTTTAAAAAACAAATAGTCAGAAGTAGAATTTAAAAACATGTCATTAAAAAAATGAAATGCAACTGCAGATTTTTTTGTTCTCAGCTGAGTATACATAAAGAACTTAATGTAAAAGTCAACCAAAAGAAAACAAAATTGTTGGGAAGCTGTTCAAAATCTACCAAGATAAGATTTCATAATAAAGAGATTTATTTTTGTTCCATTCTACTCAAAGGGAGTACACACTTAAATCATACATACTGTACATTTTCAATCTGTTCAGGTGTTTGGAATTACCACATTTCTATAATGAGTTTCATTTTCCAAGCAGACATTCATCTGAATGCATGCAGGAGATAAGTTGGGCTAGCTTTTCTCTTGCAGACATTTGTATTGAATGCTAAAATGTTACAGGAAAACTTTCAATCTTCTGGATGATATCTTCAGGGAATAACAATTAAATTTAGATGATACTTGAATGTGGCTTTATATTGCTTTCCCGTTCGTTAGATTCTAGCTCAGATCTTATTTTTCCCTATCAGGCATCTGACTTTTCCTGTGAGTCTACATACCTGGCTGCAAACTAGCTGCATAGATAGGTTTTTAATAAACTTCCTTGTGCATTCAAGGTATATATGAGAATAGTTCATGTTTGTTGGTTAAATTCTCCTTGGCCAGGAATCCTTAGTATATTCCAAGACAGAAAATTTTGATTCATCTAAGATTATTTCCACATGTTGAATGCTCTACAAATACAGGAGCAGGACGACTTTGTGTCCTTATGAAATGGCAAACACATACATACTCTAAAGAATCTCATAAATGCATTTATATTTCAGTGAACTTCAAGTGAACTTTACTTAGGTACAACTATGCATATTCATGTATCACTAATTCAGTCCTTGCTTCCATTCGTTTGACCAAGACCTGTTATCTTCCTCATTGCAAAAATTTAAGCCATGCCGTTCTTATTAAAGTATGCAAATAGAGTAGCAATAAATTTACCTAAGTCATTTTATATTAATAACTTTTTGGTTCTGTAATATTCTAAGGAATATTTTTGAATAGTTTGAATAGTTTTGAATAGTTTGATTATTCTGATCATCCTTCTATACCCACAAAAATTCTAATACAGACATGTATGAAGCAGACTCAGAAACAGTTGTCACAATGGGTTATATTCGGAGATTTTCAATAAGAGTCACTGCTGTAAGATGAATATCATATCATGTTTAGTTAGTTTTTTTCAATGCCATGGATTTGTTCCATGGCATATATTTAGGTGTAATGGAAGGATACAAAGATAGTCATTAATTTTTATATTTTTAAAAGTTCCTAGAGTTTTAAAATTTATGTCATAATACATTGCCAAACACATGAATGTAATGCACATTACTGTTTCTTAATATTCCGTTCCCTCTGTCCCTCCCTTCCTGTCTTCTTTCTTCTAAGAAAAAAAAACATATTTCTACATTAATACATTAATATGGGTTAATATGGTTCGGTGTGCCATGTGAAGAAGTGATATGACAGCTGTTCAGAATTTCCCAGCACAAAATAAATCCAATGATTTGCCATAAATTTCAACACATTATAAGTTTTATTTGCAACCTGAAAACCTAACTATATTCCAGCTCAGTGCAGTGTGGAACATTAATACGGTACTTTTATAGCGCTTGGGCAAAAGCAGGCCATGTTGTTTCAAAGAAAGTCCCTTAAGGAATATTTTACTTTAATCAGGATGACTGAATTACAATACCACGATTTCAAAATGAGACTCGAGGGCTTTTTAACAATACTTTTAACAATACTGCCAGCTTTTACCCACATATATGTTTGTAGATACATGATTAGAGACCTTTCATATTTAATTTTAGTAATCACTAAAATTAATGATTTTAAACAACAATCATTATAATTAAAGATTCCTATTTTCCCAGTGAATTTTTACAAATACATTGCTTAATTGTCAAAGAGACTTAGATGTTGCACTCATTATTTAAAGTAATAGTCCAACTTAAATTGTAATTAATATACCCAGATATATCTTATGCAAGACTTTCAAGACAAAATAGACTGCTGATATGCAAATTTTGTGAATGCTATATTTTGCTTTAGTTCAAATAATAATTTACTATTTGTAAATGAAAACAGATATAATAATTATTCCATATATAGAAAAAGAGCCACAAACCAATATTTCAGTTCTTTAAACTGAATTTAAACTCTTAAATTTATACTGTAAACCTTGTTATCTTTATAGTTAGCGGTTGTACCCTAATTCCACTTTAAAACATTTGCATTCAAACAAAACTATGAAAATAGTGTTCTTTCCTGTAAATGATCCAAAGTGGAATTGTTTTTGATTTTACAATAAAGATACTTAGAAAATGTTTTTCCTCTTTTTCATCTTAATCCTAAATTGAGGTGGGTTGCTTATTACAATATAGAGACAAATAAAAGGCCATTGTCCAATAGCTCTAGAAAACTAGGTAATAAATCAATCCATACTGTTTGTCAGGATATTCTAGGACCGTGATGGCAAACCTATGGCACACGTGCCAAAAGTGGCACACAGAGCCATCTCTTCTGGCATGCCAGCTGTCGTCCATTACTCTTCTGGGTGCCAGCCAGCTGGTCTTTGCACACGCATGCGCACCATAAAATGGAGGACCAGGTGGCTGGCAGTGCAGGCATGCTGGGGAACTGTTCTTCCGGTTTCTGGCACTCTAGTGTGCATGCACACGCTCCTGTTTTGGCACTCGGTCCCAAAAAGGTTCACCAACACTATTCTAGGACAGAGATCAGCTAACCTCTTAAAAGATCAGTAATTAGGAAGCCATCACATGCTAATATCTGTTCCAATGAGACAGATAATGCTACTAAATGAACTTTATTTTTCTTTGCTCACTGGGCATAGAATTAATATTCCACAATACTATCATTTTTGTGAGTAAATGTAACATTTTTTATTTTTAAAATCTTGTTAAGATTTATTTCAGCATTTATACTATAAGATTTCCCACCTCAACATGATAGGAAACCCTGCTCACATTTCTGGCACTTGTGGTTAGAAAAAATGACAAAGGTGAGATTATAAAACCTGTTCTAGATAAGAAATGGTTGAAACTGTTAAAGAATACTCCAGTGAAGAGCACTGTTTTCGAGAATAAAGAAGAAGAAAAAAGTGAAGTCCTGCAGATACTCCAACCAATCTACTGACAATTTTATTTTCAAGTGGTATCAAACTCAAGGCCTTTGTGGATGTCCTGATCTACCCAAAGTGAATAGGAAAGATTAGGCCATCGTAGCTTCGGCTCGGTCTACCCAGTGCGAAGAGGAATGATCAGGCCAGCATGCCTTCAGCTCAGTCTACCTAGTGCAAAGAAGAAACATGCCAGCAGTTTGGGGAGTCAAGCTGACCATGCCCTCTCAGTTGGCCACAGCAATCCAGTTGGCCATGCCTGCTTAATCCCCCAAGGTCAATCACAGCCCTGCTGCAGCCCTCAGTATCAAGTTTGATACCCCTGCTCTATCCTAATAGTACCAACATTTAGAAAATGAGAGTATTTCTCTATATTTCTGCAAAGCTATTTCATAGTTTATGTGACTGGATAGATGTTACTATCTGTTCCCTATATATTCATGTAGGCTGGTAGAAGCAAAGCTGTTAGGTATAACATTGGTCACCTAACTAGTTTGGGTAAGATAATATATATATAAGCTATGATTCTTAGTTTAAAGTGTGTGTTACTTTAAATGCAAAGCATGTATTTTTGGGTGTGGTGTGAAACCACCATAAGAGGGAGCAAGAGACGCTGATGAGACGCTGACGAGAAGCTGACGATTCCCTGACGCTTTGCTGGCAATTACTGGAGTTGCAGACGGAAGAGAGGAGTTTCTGAGTTTGTTGCATATCTCTCTCTACTGCGAGGAGATAAATTACCGGACTGTTATTTTGTAAGTGTACCGACCTCTCATTTTCGACATTGGAATTTTGGAAATGAATACTCCCTGGATGGACTGAACTAAGTGTATGATATATGGACTGTTTTTGACTATGCTTTAACTCTTGCTGGAATAAAACTACTTTAATTGGCACTGTGTATGTTTTACTGAGTGTAAGCTACACAACACTTATCTCACACATTTTTGCCTGCCTGCCTGACTGCCCTGTGCAGATCTTGCTAGGGTATATCCCTAACAAAAGGTTTATTTTTTAAAAAGCTATCTAGGCTTGATCTGAGTCAGATTAGACATCTTTCCAAGATTGATCAGACAACCACAAACACTGCACAGTTCAATGGCTATTAAGGTTTTTAGATGTGCTTTCTGTCATAATTGTGTTATCCTGCATGATTTGGGACAATATGCAAAGAAGCAAGATTTATTACGACAGTCCTAAATGAACATAGATGATTTGATATGAGAAAATTTATGAAAATGTTTCTTCCATAAACTTTTTTTTAATATTTTTGCCTTTATTTACATAGTAAAAAATCAAAAAATAAACTCAGATTATTAATTGAAAAAATAAACTCAGATTATTAATTGAAATTGTGTAATTTTTATATACAACTTTTTATATAAACCTGTTTAAAATTCTGTGCCCAATGAGAAGATTGAATTAAACATTATCAATCTGCATACCAGTGCATCAAGAAAGTTGTAACAGCTGAGATTAGGAAGGACAAACTACTAAAAACAAACCCCAAACTGTATTCACTCTGCCAACATTTACAATGAAAATTGAAAGTTCACTTTGAAAAAAATGATCTCACTTTCAAGGAAAAGCACTTTTGACTTCTGTAGCCTTAAGATGTACATGTAATATAAGTATATGTATTCTTATATTATATATCATCAGCAAATGCTATCCAGAAAAATCTTACACATTAATTCACAAATGGAAATATGGAAAAGAAATACACAATATTTGTATTTCTGTTCAAGATGATACACTTCTTTCTCTCTATAAAAAATCTTTTTAATTCCTTGGAAAGGAATGTGACCTAGATATGTTACCTGAGATACTTTTATATTACTTTTGCATTGATCTCAATGGATCATTTAATAGGTCAATCTTGATACTTAATCAGTCACAAAGAGAAATGCTAAAAGTAAGCCTCTGGTTGTTATTGCATGCTATATACAAAACATAAAACATGCCTAATTATTCTTTCTTTTTAAAAAGATAAATTTACATGATAAAACAATTTATTATCTGTATTTTGAACCTAAATATAAATCTTATCCCATGGGTTGAATTAAAACATAAGGCTCTGTTACAATTTACCAACTCATAACTTTCAAGTTTGGCCCTAATTCTAGATAATAATGGGATTACTCTTTGGGTATATTTTCAAATTATTGAAGCTTGGCATGGATGCCAGTGCTACTGCAATGGAACAGTTAGAATTTTGACTCTTTTGCTTGGTAGAGCACAGAGATTCTGCTCCAAATCCCTGGTGAGAACACACCTATTTTTAAGGCTTTATTATTATTATAATTATTTGGGCTAGTATCAGTCCATTGTATTGGCCTTATTACTACTCTGAACCTACCAACTGCTCATTTATGAAAATCAGAAATAAGTGAAAAATAGTCACCAAAATTCTGTTTAAATTGCTTTAGCCATGATACTACTGATGAGGCTAAAACAGCAGTAGTGACAATGTTAAACATTATGATTATTGGTTTTATTGGTTTTATTAACACCATTGGTGATCACTTTCACTGCTGATGGCAGGTGTTTGATTATACTGCAGCTGATCACTTAGTTATGATTATCTATTTACAGAAAACAGCAATCTTAACTGATTGTGATTGAAACCAAAGAGCCAAACAGGGTTGGGAGAATTATAAGGAAATTCTATGACAATAGGCTAGATCAGGGGTGTCAAACTGACAGCCCATAGGATACATAACATGCAGGCCATGTCTGTGAAGGGGAAAAATGTTGCAAAAGTCACATGATGTCAATGTGACATGTGGCCTAGATGGACATTTTTAAAAAATTAGAAAAAAATTGGCAAACCATGATCATATTATTTAGATGGTTGCATATGTCCAGAAATAATCAGAAAACTTTAACTGACAGGAAGCTTTTACTTCATGTAAACTTTTAATGACACTTCCTACTGTTCTTATTTACTAGCCTTAAAATTGTATAGACTTTGTATATTTAAAATAGTAGTGCTAATAGATCCAGGTGTTTGAGGTATATTTCTTTGCTCAATTGCACTGAATTGTTGCTTCAACAATTTAATTCCAATTGTGCCCAACTTTCCTGCAGCAGCAATGGGTTAATTGTGTCAGAATGATAGATTGATACACTGAGACTACAAGGATCACTACAGTATTGCCAATATAGTATTATCTGACTTATTCCCCACTTTCAGAATACATCTTTTGATAGGACTGAGACATGAAGAAAACCAACTTCTAATTAGTAAATTACTGTAGATGTTGAATGAAAACTAGTAATGAAGCCATAGACAAGGATTCAAGCATTTCTTACTTCTGGCTTAATTTAGGCAACTTTATAGTTTTTAAAGAATATAGATTATAATCAGCACTGAGAAAATAAATTGTATACACTATTTTTTTAAAGCTAAAAACTAAATTATGTTTAAGCTTTTGTTAATTTCTTTATTCTTTAATTCTTCTTTATTCTCAGTACAAAATGTATAATTAAATTAACACATTTAATAATGATACACAATTATTACCTTGCCATCCAGGTTTACACACAGGCTTAACTTCAACACGTACAAGGACATCTTCAGTTGCACGTTTCTGCCCACAGTCAAAAGCTGTTACCATTATTTCATACTGATGCTCTTTGTCATAACTGAGCTTTTCAGTATTTCTGATATTCCCTGTAGGTATAACACAGAACAATAAAAAGCTATTATTTCATTGCCAACTTACTAGTGCAATTTACCATAATGAAACCTATAATAATTGCCAGTAGTATGCAAAAGAACTTCTATATAAAAGGAAATAGGGACAAAAAGCTAGAAGAAAGACTGAACTTCATGGGAACTTTTCTTAGATTGTATTTTTTTCCCTTTTTCTCAAGGTTCTTCAGAACATTACAATCAAACTATCAACTTATACAGAGTGGGACCTGATTCTCCAGATCAGGCTTATCAGATACAGAGAAAATAACAAGAATAGTTTGAAACAGAAAGATAATGAATGCAGCACGTGATGAAAATGTGCACTACCCTCTGCATTAAAGTCACATCTCTAGACCGGGAGTGTCAAACTCGTGGCGTCATGTCATGTGATGTATTGTGACCTTTTTTCCCTTTGCTAAACTTGGGATGGGGGTGGCCAGGGTGTGATGCATCTGTTCCACAGGCCGCAAGTTTGACACCCCTGCTCTAGATAGGAAAGGATATGTATAGATACAATCTCTCTTTGATGAATCAACAGGATGTCAAGTGTTCCAAGTAACAGTCTCTAAAGAAAAAGACTCCATCTTTCCTGGCACTGAACATGGCAGCCCAGAAGCCTCAAAGAAAAAAGGTTTCCAAGCTGACACATAGCACCTTAAACAAATTTAAATTAATCATAATATTAATAATTCTATTTTTCCATAATTGCCTGGTGTCTGGGAGAATTTATCATTTTAAGATTCCCTCTAACAATAGCAGTAGTAATAGCACTTAGGCTTATATACTGCCCACAGTGCTTTATAGCACTCTCTGAGTGGTTACAGAATTAGCATATTGTTCCCAACAATCTGGGTCCTCATTTTACTGATCTTGGAAGAATGGAAGGATGAGTTAATCTCAAGACCAGTCAGGATTGAATGCCAGAGTTTGCTTTCAGTATAGGGCATGCTAACCACTGCCCCACCAGTACTCTTGTAATGAATGTATTGGAAATGCCCAAAGATTATACTAATTATCAACAACAATGGCAATCTGGAGGTTTACTTTTTTCTTGTTGTTGCCTCTCTAGTTTCCTCACTTAAACATTAGTGGCAAGATTTATTTTGGTTGCTAAAGGCTTTTGTCAATATTTATGGTAAATTTGACCTGTACTTCACTTAGTTTACTCAATATTGCAAAGGAATTTTTTTTCACATCCATCATCAGAAAACTGAATTTCAACTTTCAGCTAAATAGAAAACTTTCAGCTTTTACCTTGCCCAAATGGTTCTTATAGTTCACATGATAGTAAATCAAGAAATGATTTGAAGGTGTCTATCCTCTCACTGTTTCTCATAGTTCTGTTTTCACAGTTTTTCATTGTGAAAGACCATTCCTTTAATATTCTGTCTTTAATGTCATTAAATGACCTAAGCCTTCATGAACTTGCACAAATTATTTCCTTCCTTCCTATAATGAATCTTTGTTTTCTTTACTACTCTACCATACTGTCCATTTTCACTTATTACAGATTTCATGAAAACAATTTGCTTTCCATACTCCTTCACCCTCAACTGTGAGTCGTTCACTAAGCACACTGATTGACATTCTTTCTTTTTTTAAAAAAATCTCTCTCTATATATATATTTACCTTCTAATTTGGTTTTCTTAATTAAGCTCTCTAAAACTTCCCTACTTTGGCTAACAAAGTCCCATATGCATAGATCTGAGTCTTAATGTATCAATCTCTAATTTTGATTCCAGATATCCTTTCCTTCCTTTTTACTATACTGGTTATTTCCTTTTCCTTTCCATTATTAAAATTCCAATTTGATTAACTGAATTTCTTCTTAATCATCCTTTTTGTCATTTTCCTTAGATTTAACTCTGCTTTCCTTTTAAGACAGCAACCATTTAACTAATTACTTGCAATCTATCATTTCATCTGTCTTCAGGTCAGTTTGATTCCAAGAGACTGCTTGAGTAAGTCCATGGCAAAAAAATTAAAACTTTTAGGCAATTCTAATAAAATTGTTGCAATGCCAACAATCTAATATATGGAGATTAGAATGCCCCTATCCTGCTTAGCCTTTCATAAAGCCCTCAAAACCAAGCTATATTCCCATGCTTGACGTGCTGAGTATGTTAAGGATCCCATTTCCTGGCTGTATTGCTAGCTGGCCAAGTATCTTACTCCTATGTATATTTAATCTGGATGTTTTAATGGTTTTACTGCTTTAAAATGTTTTAGCATTTTTAATTTTAATATTTCTTTTAAACTGTAGGTCACCCAGAGGCAGTGACTAAGACAGCTATAGAAATTATATAAATAAAAGTAGGTAGGTAGGTAGGTAGATAGGTAGGTAGATAGATAGAAAACATATAATCTGTTTACATAAATACACAAAAAATTTTACAGGCTTTAAGTTCACCTTTTTAATATTTTTCTGTTTTGGAACTACAGCATCAGTTGATTGAAAATAGTTCTTAATTGAAGGGGAGAAAAAGATCCAGACTTGTTTATATTTGAAATCCCAGTTCTCTGATTTCAGTACTAGCTTCTTCAGTTGAAGAATTAAGTTTTAAAGGTATTTTCCTATCTTCATATATAAATGATGATCACAGTCCATAATAATGATATATTCCATCCACTCTCAGTAAGCAATCCCTAGATATATATTTAATTTCAGACTTGGTTTATAAGGTTTCATTCAAAATTTCATTCCATCAACTTTGCACTGACTCCAGCCAGCTTGAAAACAGCCTCCAAGAGAACAATATAAGAAACTAGCTCGTTCTAGTGACAGCTAAATAGCTAACAACTTACTTCACCCTCCAAGGTCTGGCAGTCATTCTAACCATTAAAAGAATTCTCTGTACAGTTGGCCTACATTATAACCACAGTCCCATGTAACACACTGCTTTTAATGAATAAACTCCTGATGATAACATAAATCTTAATATCCCCTAAAGTTAAATAAAAAGTTGCAACTGTTAACATACGTGCTTTAGAATATTGGTTTCTAAAACGCCTTTTAATCATTCATGAAAGATCACCAAAGCCACAAAATACAAAGAAAGCAAATAAATATTTCCAATGAGATCTCTAGCTTCATGGAGTTCAAATGTAAGTGTGGGAAATGCAAACTATAAAGAACTATTCTTTTCTTTTAAATGTTGGACAGTGTTCTGTATTCATGATCTTATTGCTCACAAATAAAATTACAGTAATCAAAGCTAAGCAATTGCAGCAAAAGACTGTTCCATACAGAAATATCTATAGAGTTATATTTTGATATGATATATGATATGAAGTGATATATGATGTGATATATGATATATTAATATTTTATATCCTGCTATAATGTTTTGAGGCATTCAAGCAAAAAAAAAAGAATAAACAATTAAAATATCATGAACAATATTGTACTATGTCCATTGGTTATTGGCTAGCAGCTTATTTTCCATCTTTTGCTTCACCTGAAGTTGCTAGATACTTCTCAAGAGTAAACACGTTGTATTAATAAGTTGGGATGTAACCAAAGCATGGGTACTGATGTCAAGTCTGACTTGCTCAAGAATGGATACTGCTTGCAAAAGAAGTCTTATTATGCAACCATTATAAACCAGAAATCGAGATATATGGAGCTTGCCCAGATTACAATAAATTAGTAGTGCAGCTTCAATTGGGACATGCTTAGAGCCAATCCTAGACCTGACTACAGTATAAATGTGAAATATGGCTTAGAGGAAGTTGAAATAATATATTGTTCTTTGTCTCCTGTACAGCAAATTTGGTTGGTGTTTGTGTGATCCAAGGTTTTTCCCACCAATCTACTGTACATTACTTTATATTTTTTAAATTAAACCAAACATAACAATTGGTTTACTTTAAGAATATGTTTAAAATCAGTTTTACCCCTTTCAGATGTTATGTACCAAAATTTTAGTTCAAGACCCATTTGTCTCAATGGGTTTGATGTGTCCTCCAAATTCCCAATGCCCAATAATTTAAATCCATCTCTCCTAACAACACTGTCTCATCTACACATCAGCATTCATGAACTGTACCTGACTAATTGGCAGTTAACATTTCTGAGAATACTAACATGGCAATGTTTCTGGATTTCAATCTCTACTAGATGCCTATCTTGGACTTCTACAATTGCCCATGTATGCTTCACAGTGTCATTGAATCCAGTATAGATTATGACCAATCCTAGCTTTAGCACATTTATAAAGACCGAATTGTCCATAGCCAAAGTCCTTCTACCCTTTAGAAAAATATCCTTAACAAGAAATGATATAAATTAATCATCCAGGCACTGGGTCTCTTCCTTTATCCACAAAATATTGTCAATCATTTCCAACACCATTAAGAGAATTATCAATTTGGCAGAAGGCTGATGCTATCATATCTCAGAAGGTTTAATTTACACATTGATCTGGCTCCGTAACAGCTGTAACTCACTCATATGGTTTCAAGGAAACTTGTGGTGTGTTTCCTAAAATCCAGAAAGTTCTTGCACTAAACCCAAGCACAATGTTCAAGAGTCTGAAAATTATAAATTGTGTATTCTCTAGGAAGTTTTTTGTTCTTTAGGAACTATTTGACTTGAACACTAATCCACAGATTTGACTTTTGTTAAACTCATTTTGATGCTTGGTCTCTAAAGGTAGAAGGTGTGTTGTTTTTTTCCTTTCTCTTCCCTGCTATTCTGTTAAACTCCTTCATAAAATTCCTTCATAATATGAGCATGTATATTCCAGAAAAATTATACACACACACACACAGAGAGAGAGAGAGAGAGAGAGAGAGAGTCCAGAATTAATTCTGAGCAAGCATGATAACAAGGATAAAATATTTGCATTGCTCAAAAAAGCAAGCTTGAAAATTAAAAACCACAGCTTCTTAAGTGTTCCAGAAGTTACTGTATGCTGTATGAGGCTGTGTTTTACAACACTTTCAACAAAGAACTAGGCTAATAGCTCTTTATTACATAATTTAAATTATATTGAATATCTTCTTTCATAGAAATATACAAAGTCTTTCAATCAAGATACTGAAATGTGAACAAGGCCAATATGAGTAACTGTAGAGCACCTAGTGTGACAAATGATTACAACTACATTATACATCACATGTAAAGGGCAGGTTACCCACTTGTATATGACATCAAGATATTTTTATATAATTGTATTATTACTGTGACATTATTTTAATGTCATTGAATAAATATTCTCTGCCATCTGAATTTCATCAGTCCTAACTTTTTCCCATTATCATCTGACTCTTTATCTATGCACTTTGAAAAAGCAGTTCAGATAGAGGTAGAGGTCAGTGTGAAATTGGGAATTGCTTCTACTGTCAGCTTGGAAGCCATTTTTCTTTGAGGCTTCTGAGCTGCCACATTCAGTGCCTGGGAATTCAGGAAGGGGATTTCAAGGACCGGTGGAAGATTTGTAACAACAACATTCCTTTCTCAGAAAGTCAAGGACATGTTACTTTGCACGTGGATGGGAGTGACTGGGGATAGTGGCCAGTTGGAATGAAGTAATGATTGGATCGTGTGATGAACTATTGGGTGTAGGGGATTGTATTTTGGGTTTTCTTTGAGTTAGGGAAAACCTGGAACATTCAGTTTTGGGTTTTACCCATATGTGCCAATATGAATCTCTAATAAAATGGATCTTTGGGAAGATGATATTCTTGGAGTCTTTTTCTCTGGAGGTTGTTACTTGGAATGTTGACATCTTCTAAAGCAGTACAACATAAAGACAGAGGAAAAAAAAGACTGCGCTCATTTTCAATTTATAATTTTGGTAAGCCATTGATGGAATTTCAGAAATAAAAATCTTCAATATTCCAGCAGCCTGGAAATAATTTTACATGAATATATGTTATAAAAGAAACTAATAAATTTGTCTACTCAAGGTATAATAATTTAAACACAGAATGTATCCAATCATATATTAATGATAAAAGTAAAGTTGACATATAACCTAGTGAAAAGACATCTGGATTTCTTTAAAAAAACAATTATTGTACGTTTGCCTCTTTAAACTCACTGAAAAAAAATAACAAATGAATTCAGTTAACTAAAATCAGGAACATTGGGAATGAAGTATCTGTAAACTGGATACCTCATAGTTGAGGTTCTACTTTAAAGTTTTAAGATAAAAAGATCTAAAATGATTGAAATCCTATAACATGTTGGCATTTTTAATAAATTATTAATAATTTGAGACATCAAAATACTTAAATATTTTTGAGAAATGTACTTAGACACTATGAAAACCTTGTAAGATGTTGATTAATTTATTATTTTTTGCAAAAATATTTTTTCACTATTTTATTAAATTGATTCTGGTGCCTGAAAAGAGTGGTTCTGCCTTGTTTAGAAGTTAATTTTCTCTAAGAAGATATTCTTATTGAATCCTCAAGGTGATTTTAAAACAAGAAAATAGTTCTGAATACCAAACAAACACTCTATAGATATTCAGAATGAATAGTAGAATCTGAAGAATGTTGTACTGATTCTATGCAGGGTTGTCTTAAGTGAACTGCAATTGGTTGACAAATATGGTTAATCAACTGAAGCCATTTTTTTTCAAGATAAAATTGAAAATTTAGAAGCTACCCTAATACCAACTTTTATAGAAAAATAAATGCTTTCTAGAAAGATCTGTCTCAGGATATAGTCCAAAAAATGCATTTGTCAAATGTCAAGGACTCACCATTCCTGTCAATAGCAAATGGAACATCAGTTGTGACAATTTCATAATTGCATATTTGACTGTATTGAGGAGAACAATCTTCATCCATGGCTTCTACCTGTAATACACTGTCGTAGATCTTTCCTTCTGTCACTGTAGCTTTATAAGATGCTTCTTTAAAAGCAGGTGCAAATTCATTAGCATCTTTTACTTGGATATGGACCACAGCTCTAAAAAGAAAGACTATTATTCTCAATTTCTACTTTTTTTCTAAATCCACTGTAGTATGGAGAGTTTCATTTTATGCTTAAATTTTACAAACAATTGTTAAAAATAATACAATCTCTATACAAAAAATGGGTAGAAAATATCTAAGTTTGAAAACCTGCCAATAGTTAGTAGAATTAAAATATGTATTTTAATGAACTACTTATTTAAACTAATGTTTGGATTAATTTCACTTCTTACTGCACTTCTCTATTATTTTATTTGCTTTTATGTGGATGTTAATATTGCAATTCTTACAATATTATTCTGAAATTGCCATGTATATTGAATATAACCAACACTTTAAATGTTCACAAATCAAGAAACATTTATCCTTTTTTCATTTAGAATATGATTATAAATGACTAAGAATCAAGTATTAATAGTAGAAAATAAGTTTATATTATTATCTATATTACAAATTACAAACACAAAAATGAAATCAAAATAATCTGGGACATGTAAACAAAGGGATAACTTTTTTTAAATTTCAAAAACAACTGATCATTTACTAAGAGAGTATATAGCTATTACAATTGCAGACATGAGTCTATTGAAATAATTGCTTTTCTAGCTAAATGATTATTAAAGAAGCCAGTTTTACTTGATCAGAGAGCAAGAAAAAAATTAACATAATGTCTTATGAAAAAGAATTTTGTTTTAATTTCTTCTTTAGCAACATTTATGAATATTAGAAAGATCTATTCCGCCTGAATTGTAAGTGTATATCCCAACACCCATAGTCCTGGTTGTCGCTTACTTGTGAGACTTTTTCCAGTTTGTTCCACTAGGCTCTGTGCCACAGTCATATGCCTGAATGATAAATGTGTACTCCTTCTGCAATTCACAGTCAATTGGACTTTTTGCTCGAAGCTGACCTTCTCCAGATGTCTTGTTTAGGACTACAGCTTCAAAGGGCATTTCTTGTCCGTGGATTTTAAAAGCACAGATTTCACCTATAAGAAATAACAAAAAAAAATATGAAAAGATCCAGAAAAAATATATGGATATTATTAGCAGTTTATAACCCATTTTTTGAAATGTATTTATAACATTCCTATGTTTAAAAAGCAATAGAATTTAGCCACCTGATCACTCGTTTGCAATTTATTGTCCATGCTTCAAGAAATTTTCCCAGTTTATATATGAAAATTTTGTTAACTTACTGATCAAGGTAATATGCTGGCTAAAGTAAGCTAGCTTTAAATCTGGGTGGTCAATATTTGATCAATACATAGTCTTGTATTGATCCGAAGAAAGGGATATAGGCAAAATGGTACCATCTAATTCAGATTGCCATTTACTGTGATTAAACATTATGTTATATGAAAATACCATTATGCAGGTTCAATGTGGCATCTTCAGAAAATCTGAAATACTCATTTAAAAAGACAGAAGTACAGAAAATATATTTGTTTTTCTTTAACTGTTATGACCTAGGCTTCCCCAAAAAGCACTAAGCAGGCTCTGTGTTCTGGCAAAACCCCATTTATTAAACAAAGGTGATTTTTTTGCATTCACATTCAGCCAAAGGCCTGGCAAACACAGATCTTATCTAGCTTGGAGAGCTGCCAAGTAAATATTTGCAAAAGCAGCACTGACAAGGAAGGACTCCGCACAGAGTCTCTGAGATGCACAGACAGATCTTTGCTGCAACAAACAAATTGTTTCCTGCAAAAAGCCCCCTCCCCTTTTGCTCCTCTTTTAATCCCTATGGGAAGGACCATTCCCATGTTATCCCATGTTGACCCTTAGTTCATAATTGTTCTTTTCTTTTGGCAGCTCTGCCCTTCCGCAGGCTGGGAATCGGATCCAGCTACTCCCCGCCTCACTGTTGTCTGACTACGAAGGCAGCTGACAACTGGCAGACTGCCCTGGCCCCATCTCTGCCTCTGATGCAGAGCCCTCCTCTGTGACTTCCTCAGCCTCCAGGACTGGCCCATGTTCCTCCCCAACCTCCTCACTGTCCAATTCGGGTGCCAGCTCCGCTAGCTGCCGGCAGGCCACAACATTATCTTTCTTCATCATCTCAGTAAATAAATTATCTTTAAAAAATGTTCTATCCTCAATGCTAGTAAAACCTGTCTACATCTATTCTTCTGTATGCCAATGTGACGACCCAAGGCATGGCACAAAAGCAACTAAGTCAGAAAAATAAAATCCCTTTACTACCTCCAACTTGGCCCCCAATATCCAGTTATCATCAGCTGGAGAAAAAAAATTCTCCCGAGAACAGTCTTTAAAAAGAAGAAATTCAATCCAAACCCAAAGTAAATATAGATTATAAATAAAAACCAACACAAACCATGCTGCAGCAATTAACAAGACAGGGCAGGATAAGGAAGTACAGACTTCCAAAAGATAACAAAACACGCACAGTTGGGAGGATGCCAGAACCCAGATAAGCTTTGACAAACAAAAAATAATGCACACTTTGTAACTTTGCTGTGTGCACATTGCCTTTTAAAAGTTTTCCCAGGTACAGCTAATGAAGTGGATCAGGGCCCTTTACTCCCCCATAAACCACATAAACCACGTTGTTCCCTTCTCCGTTCCTCCCTGCATGCCCAGGTAGCCCTGGGACTTCCTCTGAATGCTCAGCCGGACTGTGCCCTTCCCCAGTTTCTTCCCCAGCCACTGGAGCCACACTCCCTGTCAGCTGCTCGACCTCCCCCTCAGAATCAGATTCCAACAGGGGCATGACAGCCAATGAAAAAATATGCTATCCTTTAGTCAGATAGTTCTAAAGAGAAAGCTGCAAATTCTAGCAGCATTTTATAGAAAAAAATTAGGTTTTATTAATGTCAAAACAAAGGTCACTGGGATTACTAAAGGCTTCATTCATTATGACTAGATTATAGCATAACCATTTGAAACAACAAATGTTTAGCTGTTTCCTTCTAGTCACCTATCTTTACTGGAAGGTAGTTGGCTGCACATCTAGTTTTTCTTCAAGCTCTTTTCTGAGTATTGGATATAATGTGTAGTTGGTTTATCTCAAGTTGTGATAGCAGCTTCCTCTTCACTATGTTGAAGCATAGCAGGTCTTCTCTTCATCCATAGTTCCTTCATATGGTTCATATATGCTGTCTCATTAGGTCTGCTGTTGTAGTAGCATTCTATCAGTTACAGGTTCTCTTCTTTCATCCATATATGGCTTATACTAGTAACCCACTTATCAGATTGCCCTAGTCCCTCAACATCTATATGGATTTTGTTAATCTAGGCAACATCAAAGCCAGTATGATTTTCCTAATTCATGTCACTCTATATTTTGATGTAGTCAGTAAAAGGAGTTGTTTTCCCAAGGACCCCTACTAGTAAGGTAGGTACTAGCTGGAATTTGAATCCCAATCCCTGACATCAAAGGATGTACTATAACCACTACTCTATGCAGCTGTATGTGTGTGAGTGTGTGTATGTGTGTTGCTCTTTTGTTTTTGTTCTGTTTAATTAAAGGCAAAAAAGTAAGTTATCACTGTTCAAAAGATTACAATGCTATATTAGTATCAGCAAGGTAATGTTTCAGCCACTATCAAACTGTTTTAAGACTAAGGTGATGAGATTTTTGCTCAAGGATATGAAGCTATCTGTGTATAAGAATGCAAGAGCTCAATTTATCAGAGTGATGCTCTATGATCTAAAGGTTTGTCAAGTGTTCTCTTGTGCTTAAAATCTGGTCTTCTATGTATAAAGTTCTCATGAGAAACTGCTGATTAAAGCTAACTAGCACTGAGGGATCTAAGACTTCCCTAATTGTTGTTCCAACCAGAGTATGATAAAGCAATTTCAGAAATAAAGCATCATATTCTTAATTCCAATTTACAGAAAGACGGAGTTTTTTCCCCGTAAAAGTGGTCTCTGCAGAAATCCTTTTAGCCAAACCAATTATTTTCTCAACATTTTGCTCCACTCAAAATAACATTTCCAATGGCTAAATTTATTATTTTGCCATTTATAATTCGATGCGGAAGTATATTCATGTGCCTTTACATTTCTGCCCCTGCTCATAAGAGATTAAATGAATCAGTTTTTCATGTTTTGTTGTGATGTTCCATGTTTAATCTAATCTCTATTTAACAATACTCTTGTTAATCATCTGGTCCAAACAGATGAGGAAAATCTGCTTTTTCCTGCCAGGAAATCTGCCTACAGAAATAAGCAGAAGGGTTGCCAGATTTTGTTTAATAGCAATTACTGTGAGTATATGGGTCTAATTTTGAAGTGGTCAACCAGAAAGTTACATTTAGGTACTGATATTTATTTTACCAATTATTTCATATCTTGTTTTCTTGCTTTCTTTTGTTCAAAGTTTAGTTATGAATGAATGATTATGATTGTGCCAAAAATTAATGTTGGACAACTGCTTTTTTCAGGAGTTGAGTGGTCCACACATTGGCTGAATGAATGAATAACACATATATAAATATATTGTTAGTATGCCAATTCTTAAGCAGAACAGGATTGGTGACAGTAATTTCCTAAGTCAGTCACCCAAACAGTAGATAGGCAACAGAAAAGGTTTAAGAATGTCAGATAATAACTTGAGATTTCCTCAAACATGTCTAGCTATCACAGAAATTTTGGAACATGAGGGCAACCTTAAACATACAGAAAAGGTAATATTTTATCATTTTTTTCTAGCAACAGCTTCATTTTAACACTGCTGACTTCTTATATTTCTCCGTGATGCTTCTAGGAAAGTAACAATGGCACAATGGACTGAATTTGTGAAAATAAGTCTCAGCGTGCTTTGCAATAATGAAGTTACCCTGTAGATGTACAATACATCAATAAAAATCATGGGTTTTGAGTTTTGTTTGTATTACTATATCGACCACACAGCCCAGTTTCTAGCAATACAACATTCTTAGAAATTAAAACTTGGCAGTTTCTAAAATAAAAAGAGTTTTATGGAAGTAAAATAAGGGGAGTTGTTTACTTTATAAATATTTCCAGCATTTTATTGAAAACTGCATTATCACTGTGCATACAATGAGTGTAACCTCATCAATTACAGAACGGAATAATTGCATTAAATTGAAGATCCACAATATAAAAAAATATTGTACCTTTAATGCTACAGAATTTCAATTAAATTGTCTTCAGCAATATCCTTTAAATATACTTTGAGTACTCTTAGGCAAAACAATTAGAATTAAAGCATTAGAAACCCCTCCCTTTAGCCAGATGTGGATTCAACCAATCCACAGGTGTGAAGATGTTATTGTACCAGCTGCTCTGAGAAACAGATAAGGATACACTCCCATGACCATCTTCCGCTGGCTTACAAAGTGAAAAAACCCACATCCCGCCCCCTAAACTTTCCCAAAGAAGTGAGAATACCTCAGGGTGCTTTGGCACCAGGATACAAGTTAAAAAATAACAGTTGTGACAGGAAATTTTGAAGAATTAGCACCTTTATCCTAGTTAGTACCTTAGCTACTATACTACACTTGCTTTCTCATTTGTATATAGACAGATACACAAACAGTAGAGTCAACCATTTATCCATGCATTAATGATGATGAAGTCAAGAAATCTGGAAAATACTTGAAGTGAATTAAATATTAGGATTTCTTTATAACACAAAATAACAGCGGACAGCTTAATGTTAATGTTAGGCAACATTCTTAAATACAGTGAATTTTTATTATACAGAAATAAGACTAAATGTTTTTAACTGTCTCAAAATAACATTCTTTTTCTAATATCATAGTTTTCCCCAGGCTTTTCATGCTTGTAATGCTGAAATTGAATCATCATTATATTTTAATATTAAATTTGAAATTAATGGAATGGAGAACATAAAAATTAAAACTCTATGCACAGCACAAACCAAAAAAATGTAATGGTGTAAAAAACTCTAAAATAATAAATTGTTCCAATAATTTAGAAAAGGGCAATAAAATATATACATTTTTAATTAAACCAACCTCAATAATGAAAATCATGA